TTCTACATGGTTTAAATTTAGCTGCTTTAAAATTATTTTGTATTCTCTGGCTTCTTCCATAGAGGAAGAGTTGGCAAACATTTCCGGTTGAAAGACCTTTTCTCGGTAATGAACCTAAATGGTTATCAGGAGTCTCAAACTTCCTAGACTCAGGTGCACGTGCACAAAGATCAGGAAATGAGAGCAGAAGGGTGCTTGGGATGTAGAAGATTGACCGGTTGTCGGACAGCAAAGGATTTGCCTGGGTTTACAAGTGGAAACTTCCTAGCATAGTAAGAATTTCTTTAGGTCATATTAAACTTTTTTTAAGAGTTCTGGCTTTGGTTTCCACATGATCCACAGTGGGATTCTACTGCCACGGACACAAATTTGATCACATTTTGCCGAACATACCTGGAGACAAGTGGCATTTTCCACTCTGTGTTGGTTCGGATGGGTTTACCCACCGAGCGGGGCCTTTAAGTCCTGATAGAGCCCTGCACCAGAATGAGAGGCTCGGAGAGCTTGTGGCAGCCCAATTAAAGGACAGCCTGGAAGGGTGGCTTTACCTCTGCTGATCCTGTTGATTGTGTCCCCTGTGGATTAGAGACCAACCTTCCGTAACAAGCACATTGAATGGCTTGGGTTTCCAAAACTCTCCAGGACCAGTAATTAATCCAGCTGGTAATGAGCACAGAGCTGATTTCAGGACAGGAATCATTTAACTCTTTCTGTGCTAGACTTACTAATAGTGCTCTTAAAACCAGGGAGATGACTCCAGGGACTGGAGCACATGCATTGCAACCCCCATCTGTGTTCAACCCCCGGCACCTAAAGGTCCCCCAAGAACCACTGAAAGTGACACCTGCCCCCCGCCACCCCCCCATAGCACCCTGCCAGGAGTAATCTCCAGCACTGCCTGTTGTAACCCCAAAACAGAACAGTCCTTGTAAACCTTAGCACTTTTTACTACAGCATAAAAAGTTTGGTTTTAAAACAAGCCAAAAAATTGCCCCCTTTTCAGCGAAATTAGAGTATGTCCTAATTGAAAAGGAAAAGAACATCCTTCATCTCTAGTATGCTGAGATTTGAAATGTGAACTTTTATAGTAGAAGATACTTTTAGCTCTTGTTTGTACAGTGGAGTAAATTTTATACAGTTGATATTAGTACTTTGAGCAACTAAGACCTGGCCAGAACTTACTTTCTCTCCAGTTCCATTTTTAATTTATTGGGGGCTTTTGCTTATAGAAGTCACCTTTTCTTTATACTGCTTTCATTTCTTCTGCTTGTAATATTAATCTCTGTTATTTTTCTAGAGGACTGGAGCGATAGCTCGGTGGGTAGGGCGTTTGCCTTGCATGTGGCCGACCCAGGTTCGATTTCTCCATCCCTCTTGGAGAGCCCAGCATGCTACCGAGAGTATCCTGCCCACACAGCAGAACCTGGCGAGCTCCCCATGGTGTATTTGATATGCCAAAAACAGTAACAACAAGTCTCACAATAGAGACGTTACTGGTGCCTGCTCGAGCAAATTGATGAACAATGGGAGGACAGTGCTATAATGCAGTGCTATTTTTCTAGAAGTTTGAAACATTTCCAAGCCAGAGATTTCTAGAGCATGAAACATCTTTGAGAAGTTTGCTAATTGTCTCCTTCCTTTAATTAGAGGAAGTCACATTCTCTGGTGATTTAATATGCATAACTAATGATCAGAGATCCAGACCATGTCAACCGTCTACCTCTGCTTTTGTGGTTGAGAGAGTGAGAGTTAGTTTCTCAAGATGAAAAATTGACTAGATAGTCATTTTGGTGCTGACATTGTTTCTCATCCTCTGCCATATTTATACAGATGCATATGCACTCACTCTGCTGCCTCTTGGCTTCTTTTATGGAGGGAGACAGGATCAATGTCTTCTGTGTAAATTACAGTGTGTTTGACATCAGAAGCCATTTTTAGCCTTTTTGGACATTGGCTCAATGTAGCATTTAGGCTATAGCATTTAGTCTTATCAGAGACATGAGGGAGAACATGAAGCCTTCTAGCAGGCCACAAGTAGGATCCACCAGCTTTGGGCTGGAAAGTGGGTGTGAAGGTTGGACGGATACCATAGACCTTTCAAAGAGGGAAGAATCATGAGCGGCCAGATGGGAGACGTTAACTGAAGGGTTGAGAGGAGTAGCTTGGGAGAAGAAGGGCTGGGCCAGGCAGGGCGATGGAGTTCTGCTGGCAGAGATAGAAGCCTAGGAGCCAGGTCACTGCACAGAGAGGCCGGGAAAGCGGGGCCGATTCTGGAACCAGCGGATTCTTAGAACCCAGTGGAAGGCCAGAGACCTGAAGCAGGTCTGAGCACAGAAGTTTCCTGCATCCAGGTGCCAAGTGACCCAGCACTGGGCTGTCGGTGCCATGGACATGGGCAGAGGGCGAGGAGGTGCCAGTTGGAAGCTGAGAAACTCTAGACTTTGAGACTATACGGGGTTCAGGCTAGGATTGGCCAATTTTTTTTAAAAAATCATTGTGAGATAAACAGTTACAAAGTTGTCCAGGATTGTCTTTCAGTCATACAATGTTCCAACATCTGTCCCTTCACCAGTGTACATTTCCCACAACCAATGTCCCTAATTTCCCTCCACCCCCCCACCCCCAGTCTCTCTCTCTCTTTCTCTCTCTCTCTCTCTCTCTCTCTCTCTCTCTCTCTCACACACACACACATACACACACTATGATTTGCAGTACAGGTACTGTGACGTTATCATGTGTGTCCCTTTACCTACTTTTAGCCCTCAGTTCCTCTTGTCCAGAGTGATCATTTCCCGCTGTCCTGATCATTGTGGTCTCTTCCCTATTCTAACTGCCCCCTCCCTTATCCCCTCTGTGACAAGCTTCCAACCGTGGTGACTAGCCAAACTCCTATCACCAAGCATTCTGGACAGCTAGTTTTCATTGGATGTGTTAGAATGATTAGAGATATTTAACCCTCTAGTTTCATTTTACCTGAATTTTGGATTTTTCCTACCTATGGGTATGAACAACTCTCCTTTGTAGACTTTTGTGATTAAAAAAGAGGGGAAATTTCAAGTCTGTGAGATCAGCTTGTTTGCATTATGAGAAAGCCATTGCTTTTAAACGTAAAGAAGCTTGAATATCATATAAAAGGATTAAGCCTTTCCTTCTGTGGATCCCAGGCTGAAAAAAGATCCTTCCAAGAAGAGAGGATAAAAGGGAAAATGACTTTGAGATGCACTTTCTTAAAATAACTAAGAAGTGACCTCATGGAGCCAGCTGATGGCCTGGGTTTGCAAATGGATACGTTCCTCTGAGCCGCTGCTTGCTGGGGCCAGAGCCAAATATACAGGAGGACAAGGATTACATCATATCCTGTCTCCTGTCTGGGAGAGGGATGGGGGGGGGGGGTGTCGGGAGAATTCACAATGTAAATAAAAATATAAACACTGTCAACCAGCGCTTGCTTTGTTAAGTTAGTATAGTCTTCAGATAAACTAATTACAAATGCCATGTGTTTATGTTTATATAGACTCTTTGATGTAAGTGAGTTTCTATATGAATGCAATGTTTCAGGCATTCTCAATTATGCTTAAGTATTGAGTACTTCATTTGATATTTTAGCACTAATATTAGTTAAGTCCAAAGGCCACTTGGGACTTTTTCTTTTCTTTTTTTTTTTTCTTCTCTATTTTACAACTACAAACTTGTGTCCTTGAGTCTAACTCATTGCCGAAATTCCCCGTTCTTTGTTCTGAGGCGTGAAGACATAGAATGGATGTGTCCTTGGCTGGGTGCTGCTGTCCTCCTGAGTGCCGTAGGCCTCCCAGAGAGCTCGGGGAAAGCATAGGTCACCACTTGGTAATTTGCTTCTCTTGCCGAAAGCCATCAGCCCTGAAGAATACTCACAGAGTAGAGATGAGGAATGGCCGTTGGCTCTGTGGTTTAAACCTGCAGGGTCTGGCTTTGGTGATGCTCATGGTCTAACTTGAGACATCAGACTCAAAGACATTTACCTATCTAGAAGAATTTTAGGATGATTTCTTATGTAAAAAGCCAATTTATTAGGTATATTTTGGTCGGTTGCTCAGGACTTACTCTGTACTCAGGGTTCACTCTTGCAGGACTTGGAACCATACGCACTACTACCTCTCTAGCTCTATGTTGTCTATTTTGTAACCAACCACTTGAGTTCTTATTTATAGTAGTTTTTCATTTCATTTTCTGGGGTTTTCTAGGTACAGAGGAGTATCACTGACAAATGGTGTTTTGTTCTGCTCTTCACCGTTTATTTCTCTATACTTATTGCCTTTAGAAAAACAAAAACAGCCTTGAAAACAATTTGTTTTGTTGTGATACCTTAAATACATGGAAACTGTAGAAGGGAAATAAGTCATAGCAGAGGTCCCCAAACTTAACTTGGTTTACCATCCCATTTCCAAAAGAAAAAAAATCAGTCAGTGCCCTCCTAGGAAATCTGCCTTCTTTCATTGAACACAGTGCCTCCCCCAATTTAGTAGCACCCCGGGCTACTAAACACCCTGGCCCACCCCCATCCCACCCCATCCCATCTCCTCAGAGGGTGCTGTCTGACCCACTTTGGGAAATACTCAGTTACAGTACCTGAGGAGGCAGAAACTAAGCATGACCTTACAGGAACATATTTCTGAAATGCTGCTTTAAGGTGCACCTTGCCAGCCCAAGTTTCCTTCTTACTCACCTGTGGAGGTAGAGCTGCTGTGGGGGAGGAATGGGTTCTCACCACTCACAGTTTGGAATGCTGCAGCGCACTCCAGGAACGTTCTCTCTTTGATAATCTCAGGATTCGGTGGGCACCAGAGAGAGAGGACAGGGGTTTAAGCACTTGCCTTGCACGTAGCTGGCCCCAGTTCAATCCCTGGCCCTCGGGGCTCCTTTGGATGTGGCCCACCCACCCCTAAAAGAAATCTGGTGGGAGACACTGGCAAGACGCTCTAACCATGTTCCATGCCTCTTAAGAGCAAATGTTTCTCTTCCAGGCCCAACTTCGGGCATTTATTCCAGAGATGCTCAAGTACTCTACGGGGCGGGGAAAGCCAGGCTGGGGCAAGGAAAGCTGTAAACCCATCTGGTGGCCTGAAGACATCCCGTGGGCAAACGTCCGGAGTGATGTCCGCACAGAAGAGCAGAAGCAGAGGGTAAGGGTGCTGACTTGCGTCGCCTTTTATTGTTGTATTTTGAATGACCCACTTCAATTTTGTCATTTCTACTTTTTAATGCCCCAAAGGCCTAAAAAAACATTTAATATCACATGTGTGTGTAATAGTCAAGCCTGTCCTTTTAAAACCAGTTTGGTATTCTCTGGCTTATAGTTTTCCCATTCATGCCCCCATCGCTGCAAAGAGAAGGCTGGAATAAGTCTAGTTTACATTTCTCTGCAGTTTTAATTTCATGAGGCGCTTGGGGAAAACCAAAGAAACTTAATGTATGAGTCATTTTTGAAGACTGAAGAATGTCTTCATTCTGGTTTAGAAAGAATTCCTGTCCAGCATATGCACCGGAAGAGGTGCCCTGGTCAGAATGCCTGCGTGTCGGTAGACCTTGAGTGTGACCCCTAGTGCCACTGCATGAACTGAGCAGGTCCTGATGGCTCTTCCATCAGTTCCCTGGCACTGAGAGTGATTCCTGGGGTGTGCGAGCAGCCCAGATAAAGGGCCTGGCCCTTTGAACACTGCAGCTGAAGAGATGTGAGAAGCTGGGGCAAAGCTGCCAAACCCCAAGTCTGAACACGACCCTGCCAGCATCACCGCCCAAGTGGGTGAGCATAGCCGAGCACGGGCTCAGTGGCTTCTGCCAAGAAAGGAAGAAAGAGTAAAGAAAAAGTGATTTCAAAAGAAAAAAAACAATTAGATATGAAATTGGCCCAATGGGTTTGACAATAACAGAACTTTTTTTTTTTTTTTGCAGGGACGGGAGTAGTGTGGGGGGGTTCACACCTTGTATACTTGCTCTTTGCCTGGTGCTCAGAGATTACTTCCATTGGCACCAGGCTGTCTTTTATATTTACTTTGAAATTTTTAATATATCTAATATATTTCTTTTTGGGCCAGAGCAATAGCATAGTGGGTAGGGCGTTTGCCTTGCACGCAGCCGACCTGGGTTCGATTCCTTTGCCCCTCTCGGAGAGCCCAGCAAGCTACCAAGAGTATCTCGACCGCACGGCAAAGCCTGGCAAGCTGAGCTACCCATGACATATTCCGTATGCCAAAAACGAGTAACAAGAAGTCTCACAATGGAGACGTTACTGGTACCTGCTCAAGAAAATTGATGAACAGTGGGAGGACAGTGCTACAGTGCTACAATTTCTTTTTAGTGGTTTTTTTTCCCCTTAATTAAAAAAAAAATTACTATTAAAATTTAGGTAACACGGTTACAAGAATGTTAATGTTTTTGGTTTTGATGTGGTTCTTGCACCCACCAGCACCACAGCGCCCAAGACTCTCCCTCCCTGTCTCCTTAACGGTGCCTGGTCCACTTCCTCTCCCCTATCCCCACCCCCCTTCACCCTGCTGGTAATCTCAGTTTTGTGAATCAAAGACTAGGAGGGAACATCTTTTAATAAGAAGAAAAGCTGCTTTTTAGCCATCATCCTCTACTTTTTTTTCTGCGTGAGGATCTTAATTTGCAGTTGTTGGCAGACAGGAACCTTCCTTGGTGAGCAGTTAAGAGTTGACCTTCGGGTAGAATAGGGTCTAACATGTAGGATGTAAAAGCTGGTGAACTCAACTGGGATCCGGAAGGAAAGCAGGGAGACCAGTGCCAGTGTGCGACTTTCCGCAGGGCGGGGACGAGTTGATCATTAGAAGCCGCTCTTCTGCCGGGTGACTGAGTGACCAATCTTTCTGTGGCTTCATGTGCTTTTTCTGGTCTCTTGATCACAGGTTTCATGGACTCAGGCGCTACGGACCATAGTTAAAAACTGTTATAAGCAGCACGGGCGGGAAGACCTTTTGTACGCATTCGAAGATCAGCAAACACAAACACAGGCCACCACCACACACAGTATAGCCCACCTTGTCCCATCCCAGACCGTAGTCCAGACCTTTAGTAACCCTGACGGCACTGTCTCACTTATCCAGGTGAGTACACGGGACAGTGACCGGCTCCTTGTGCCACCTCACCAAAGCTGGGAGAACACTTCCTTCATGCCCATACTTATAATGAACTCTCTCTTTCTAAGACCTCCCTGTTGAAATTGAGTTTTGGGTGTTTTTGGCATGTAAGTAAATTCAGAGTTACAGGTAGCTTTTGTGGCCCTTTCCAAAGCAAAGTGCTGTAAAATGGCTTCTCAGAGCACTCCAATGTCAGAGACCCAGGAACGTGGCTCCTGCTCGCCACGCCACTGCAGAATGGGCAGCGGGTAGAAAGCAGGTTTGACTGTCGCTGGGCAACAGCAGTAGATCATGGTGCCTTCTGACTTATTCGACTGAAGTGAAACTCCAAAACTCATGTTAATATCTGAGATCGAACTTAAGTAACTCAGTTCATCGTGTGAAGCGTAATCCTTGTTATCTGTACTGGATTTGTACTAAATGAATCTTTCTTTCTTTTTTTTTCTTTGCATTTTTCCCCATTTTTAAAAATTGAATCACAGTGATATACACATTTACAAAGTTGTTCCTGATTGGCTTTCAGTCATATAACGTTCCAACACCCATCCCTTCACTGATGTACTTTTCCCACCACCAATGGTCCCTTCGTCCCTCCCACCCTGCATCCCACCACCTGCCACTATTGTATGCACTTTCTCTCGCTCTCTCTGTCTCTCTCTCTCTCTCCCTCCCTCCCCTTCCTTCCCTCCCTCCCTTTGGACCTTACGGTTTGCAGTACAGGTAATGAAAGGTTATCAGACACATCCGTTTATCTGTATCCTTCACCCGCCACACACTCTCTGTGGCAAGCTTCTAACCATTGACCTGTCCTCCTGGCCCCTGTTTACCCTCACCTTGGATTTTAGTCTCATATATATTTTATTTTTTTTCCCCTTTATTTTATTTTATTTTTTTTAAAGTTGTAGATTTACAATTTTTTGTGCTTTGGATTCAATTATACAATGATCAGATACCCATCCCTCCACCAGTGCCCATTTTCCACCACCATGGATAATATCCACCACCATATATATTTTATATCCCACAAATGAATGCAGTCTTTCTATACCTGGCCCTCTCCTCCTGACTCATTTCACTTGACAAGATACTCTCCATGTCAATCCAACCAAATGAATCTTAACTCCTGAGCAAGGAAGGGTCTACCCATTGGCACTTACATTGTCTGTATTTTTCTTTAGGTTGGTACAGGGGCAACAGTAGCCACATTGGCTGATGCTTCAGAGTTGCCAACCACAGTCACTGTTGCCCAAGTGAATTATTCTGCGGTGGCTGACGGAGAGGTAAGAAAGAGGATTCTGTCTGCCTCTACTGAAATAACTTCCATTTGTAGGTGAGGGAGAGTGAGGGATCAGAATGTGAGAAGACTGTAAATAGTCTCACATTTGTAGCATTATTTTATTTAAACCATTGAAAACCTCATATCACGATAATTTGCAAATAATCCTACATGCTGTGCATATTAATTTTGGCCATTTGAAATCAGTTAAATCATTTTTATTTTGACCTGTCAGGAGCAGGAGCTCAGAATTTTATATTTATGATATAACATTTCTTATAATACACAATCAAAAGGAATTATCAGGGACGAAGATAGAGTATGGCTTGCCTAGTTTGATCCTGGCATCTCATTAGGTTTTCTGAGCATCACCAGAGGTAAGACCTGAGCACCACTGGGTGTGTCCCCAAAAAATACAAATACAAAGGAGTTAGTTATTCTACACATTTTTTTTATGAACCCCAGAGGATTTCATCTTTGGCCTTTAAGGGAAGAATTAGATCATTAAGGGCTGGTGAGTTACTACAGCGGGTAGGGCACTTGCCTTGCATGTGGTTGACCCACGATCAATTCCCTGGACCTCATACGGTCCCCCGAGCACTTCCAGGAGTGATCCCTGAGTATCACTAACTGTGGTCCCAAAACTAGCAACAACAAAATGAGATCATTAAAACTGAAGCTAACTAGGAGCAGAAAGGCGAGCACAGGGATTAAGGTGCTTGCTTTGCTTGCCATCAACCCTGGTTTGACACCCAGTATGACATAAGGTTCCCTAAGCACAGCCAACAGGTTTGACCCCAAAACATAAATAGGGAAAACTCAACCCATATGGTCTCCCGATCTTCCACTCAGAGTGATTGCTGAGCTCAGAGCCAGGAGTAAACCCTGAGCACTGAGTACCACCAGGAGTGGCCCAAAAACAAAAAAATTAAAACCAAAACTGAAGCTAAAGCATTATTTGAAAGGGTAAATACTTTTATTAACCAGACATGAGTTACTGGATTTTTTTTTCCTCTTTTGCATCACACCCGGCGATGCACAGGGGTTACTCCTGACTCTGCACTCAGGAATTACTCCTGGTGGTGCTTGGGGACCATATGGGATGCTGAGAATCGATCCCCAGTCAGCCGTGTGTAAGGCAAATGCCCTACCCGCTGTACTATCGCTCCAGCCCTGGGTTACTGGATTTTAAACATGCTTTTAAAAAAAGACTTCACAAGAAAATTCTTCCCTGTCAAAATTATTGAATTATGGAATGTTAAAAAGGTAGCCAACCTTTATTGAACCAAGCTCTTGACCCTCTGAAGCCAGGGTTCTGCCATCACACTTCACTTTGTACACAGAGAAGTGAAGTACATGGAATGTCATGACTGGCCCAGGCCTCAGAAGGTAGGTTACACACTGAGCAAAAACCCTGTCTCATCTCTGAGCTCTTGGGCCATCAGCAGAGAGACTGGAAAGGCGTCACTGAGTCGCTGCAGGCTTTTCCCTAGAGTGCAGTACGATGTGCTCTGGATTTGAAAAACAGCCAGTATCTGCCAGAGAGCAGTACCCGGGCCTCACTCTCCTTCAAACCCAGGGACCATTTCTGCTTAGAAAAGTACTCGTAGAACAGTCACTTTTGTCTCTGCATCTTAGGAGGGAGAGAACTGATGGAGCCCTCACAGTGTGAGATGGGGAGAAGTTGCCGACTCCTCAGCCAGCCTGCAGTTCCTGAGCCCATCCGCATGGGCCAGTGCTATATTAGACGTGTGCAGCTGAGTGGCCTGAGAACCCTGCTCTCTTGGAGCTCTCTCTCGTGGGTTCTCTTCTTCTCGCCGACCACCTAAGTTGATTGCAGCCTGATCTCTGAGAGTTGCTGCCTAGGGGTAAATGCTTTCAGGAGTTCAGCAAGGCAATGTGAGAAGTCTGGGGCAGGAGCTGGCGTTAAGGTTTTCAGTGTAGAAAGATCAGCAGGACATTTACTTTTCTCCATAGATAAACCCAACAGGGTGTGGATTCACTGAGAGAAAAATCCATCAGTCCCCAAATCCTAAAACTAGAGGACCTTCCCTGAAGTGTGATAGAGGGAGAGAAACGCTGATAAGTTTGTCTTCCCGGGCTGTTCTCTTTTGTTTAGTCAGCACTGTCAACCAGATCATCCTGCTGAGTGTTTCCGTTGCTATTTAAAGAAAATAACCGTGTTTTCTTAAAACCTTCTATAGAGATCACTTCTTTGACAATCATTTTCTGAATAATTTTTTGTATACACATGATCAGTAATTTAGGTGTTCATGGGAAGTACGAAGGATTAAGGAAATTAGTCACATTTATTAGTATTTTCAGCACACTAACATCATCATTTCAAAGTCAGTTATTGCCTGAGTGAGTGGATGGATGACATAAATAGCTTGTTGGTAAATACCCAAATTCAGTTAGAAAATTCTAACTTTCCCCACACATCCAGTGAAACAAAAGTTATTATTAATGAAGAGAAGAAACAGATCATAGGAGAAAGTAACAATACATTTTAGACTTTATGGTGTGATCTGTTTGCCTTCTGGTTTCAAGCAGTTGACATGATTGTTTGCATCTTAGTTTTGAATCATAACTGTAATTAGTCAAAGTATCTCATTCTTTTGATAACTAAGAATACTACATACCATGAAGAGATAAAGTTACTCAGTAGAAACATCCCGTTTCTTAACACTTAGCATCTTTTCTCCCCAATACAAAGTGTTGCCTTCCATTAAAAACAATAACCTACACTTTTCAGGGACCCTGAAGTTATTTATGCCAACCTTCCCAGTAAGAGCTCTTAACCATAGACTACACCGTTTAATATTAAGTAACATACGTTTGGCTACACTTATAAGAAGGGCTAGTGAGGGTCATATGTCTCTGGTAATGTCCCCAGATCTCCCTTTTTTGCTGAGGATGGCTGGTAATGCCATCAATCTAAAACAGCAACAAAAACCCCCATCAGCAGCCTGAGACTGATAAGGGACCCAGAGCAAGTTACAAAGACATTTAGGGTAAAACAAGGAAAGAATTTCAAAGTGATATGGAATAAAATATGTAATAAACTGTCTAACAAAGTAATAAGGAATAAAATATGTATTGACTTAGAAATAGTTATACAACTTAAATTTTGGTTCTCTTTACGAAGGCAGATGGATTTGAGACTATACCACTGAATGATAAAACTCCATTTGGTAATTGTATTGTGTGTCAGAAAAATTGGAATTTGGAATAGAGTGATATCTGATAATAAGAGTTTATACATAGTTCTGTTAGGAATAGAAAAGTAGAAATACCACAAAGGCATCAGAGATAGATATTTTAGACTCAACCAGCACAACTCACTTTAGGAGGGGGTTTGTTTGTTTGCTTGTTTGTTTGGTTTGTTTGTAATGCATGTTAATTAACCTGAAATGTGCGCCAGATGAGCACACAGGGAACGATGGAGAAGGAGTGTGTCTCATCCATCCGCCCATCAGGTGAACATTCTCTGGGCCCTGCACCAGGCACTGTCGATAAAAGAAAGAACGACTGCTCTTCCTTAAGGAGCTCATGGCTAAACGGCCAAGAGAACACCTCAAAGAGCAATGCAGTGACTCAGGGTCTAGCTCGAGCAAGCCCGGGTGCTGAGATCACGCGGGAGCCGCTCCCGCCACCTTGGACTGTGGTGGGTGGCGCGGTCTCAGCTGCTCGGACTAGAAGAGCGAGCCAGAAGCAAAGGCCGAGGGGTAGGAGCTGTCTTCCCATCAGAGGGAGGAGCACGGCCGCGTGTGGGGTTAGGAAGGCTGGCGCGTCTGCGGGGTCACAGGAGCTAGAGGGCAGAGGCCGGCTGGAAGCGCCTCGATGTAGCGGGTCTCTCCGAAACGCACAGAAGCTAATGGTGTATCCTCTGAATATCTTTCCCTCCTAGAGCATGTGGCCCTTTCTTTGGGACATGGTGACATCCAGGCATAGATAACCACACAGTGACTCCCAACAGATGGCCAGGGAGAGCAAGAAGGACTGAAGCAAAACACAGCTAAGGCACTGAGACCTGCCATATTTCTGAGTAGCAGCCTCTTCCTCTGCCTCTTCCTCCTTCCTTTCCACCCTTTCGTGCCGTCTTCCAGGCCGGATAATTTAAGTTCCCTAAAACATTCGCTCCTCTGTATGGCAACCTGCTAATACCATTCTCGCTCTCAAACTCTAGTTCTAATAAATATGTGTATTCTGCTACCGTTGGAGTATGAGTTCTTGGGGGAGCACGCTAGGCCATCTCAGCAGTGGAGCGTGGGGAGAGCAGGAGTGCAGAGCGGGAGAGGAAGAGGAAGACGGTGTCTTGGCCAGAGGTGGCAGGACTGACCAGCTTCAGAGCTTCAGCTAGTGTCCTGAGTGGGCTCAGCCGTCTAAGACATGGCAGAGTAACTGGCCGTCTCACGTGGCAGTTGTGACGGTGGTCAGTGTCCGTCGAGGCCCCTGTGAGGAAGGAAAAGAATTTCCACTGTGAATCCTGTTGCTCGGACCCGGCCCTGCAGCCCTTACGGATGGCCCAGCATGTCAGTACCTTCTTCTTAAAGACCCATTTCTACCTTCCTGAGGAAAAGAGACAGAGGATGGTGACTGACTGTTTGACAACTTGTTCTCAGGACTCAATGACCTTTCCTGATGTGGCCGTGAGCTTCACCCAAGAGGAGTGGACTTTACTGGACCCTCGTTCGAGGAACCTGTACAGAGATGTGATGCTGGAGAACCCCAAGGACGTGGTCACAGTGGGGCACCATCTGTTCAAACCCAGTGGGACCTGTCAGTTGGAAAAAGAACAGGTTGAGGACAGTGGAGAGAGGAATCCAGCACGAAGGGGAACTTAAACCCAAGGATGCAGCAATTTGGCAGGATACTTGGGGGAAGAAAGCAGCCAGTAAGCTAGGAGTGATGGGTAGGACCCAGGAGTAGTCTGAGAAAACGGAACCACCACTTATCCACAACGGGTGGGGATTGTGAGGAACGCGGAGGCCAGTGAACACTCACGCTCCTCAAGACACCAGGAGAGAACTGGAGATGGAGGAAAACCTGACTTCTGCCCGCCCCCAGCATGACTGCATGGGAGAAGTCCCACCGCAGAGAAGTCTCAGATGTCCCCCACCTGCAGACACCTTCCCTGCTTTTTCATTCTCAGTTGACTACTGGCACAGTGACAGGACAAGAAGCCCGCCACCAGAAGGATTATGGGGAAAGTATTGCAACACCCCCCCCCCACCCCATACAGACACACCCTAATGTGACAAGCCCATGCCAGAGTCTCTGCAAAACGTGGGGGCTTCAGGGGAGCCTTTCCTTACCCTACCTCCCCCCCCCCCCCCCGTGCCACACTGCACGTGTAAAAAGTCACACAGCCTGTACCTCATCGGTGTGAGAAATGTGAGAAGGTCTTGGCTTCATCCTCAAAACTCATGAGTCGTTTTCAGAAGCTCGCTGGAGAAAAATCTCTTGAATGTGAAAAATGCTGGAAGCGTCTCGCAACCCTCAGGCCTGTGTGGATGTTGTAGATCTCACCTAGGAGAGGCGGCTGACCTCAGAGAGGGATGAGGGGAAGCCATTTTTCAGGTTGCCATTTGGAGTGGTGACGGGGGACAGGCAGTAGAGGAACATGGGAATGCCTCCCACCCCCTCGCCCAGAGGTCCGGTTCTACCAATAATAGGAAGGTAGAATAGCCCACCGTCCTCTCCGAGTCCAGTAGAGGATGGACAGTGAAGCCAGTGGGCTGAGGGCCAGGCCCTTCTCTGTTTCCTCAGTACCTGACAGAGTTCTCCATGGGGGAGCACACACCCGCCAGAGAAGGCCTGCTACTGTGAGCTTAGTAGGAAAGTCATAATTGCGCTCTGCTTTTGAAAGTTCGCAAGTGTAAAAGCCCACAAGTGTAAAATGCAGTCCTTGATTTGCAGCGATGCCCATTGGTGTGATATGATGAAAGAAAAGGCCCTGGAGAGGCAGGAGGCTGTGAACTCTTGGGTGGGCAGCTTTGCAGCGCCAAGGGGAGGAGGTGAGCTTGGTCCTCCCAGGAGAACCCAGGGGAAGGCAATGTCTCGTCACAGGGAGGCTCCTGACAAGCACTCCCGAGAAGCACCATAAGACACTCAGTGTGGAATCTGCCTCTCTCGTAGCTTACGGCGCTTTCTTGGGTCCGTCGAGACACTTAAAGCACAAACGAACCCATCCATGGCCGCCAGGAGTTTAAGCAGAAACAGGGACAGCTTTCCTAAGCACGGCCAGTGCCGAGCGGTGCTGTCTCCCCTCCGATCTCCCGAGAAACTGCCTCCTCTGCCCCTGCCACTGCTGGTTTGGAGTGGGGAATAACTGATTTTCCCCTCTTTCTTGATGAGCACCCCGGACGGAAGTGGCTATGGCTATTCAGAGTCGTGAGTGCTCTAGATGAAAAGCATTACATGAGAGTCAGTGGTTCTTGGCCAGGGATCGCGTGCCCCAACCCCCCCCCCCCCCCCCCCCAGACATTTGTCAGTGTCTGGAGAGGTGCGTGATGGTCATGACCGAGGACATGGTGCTACTGGGCCTCCAGTGATTCCCAGGATACCCTCTAGTGCCAAGAGTTGTCGCAGAGCGTCAGCAATGCCCAGTGTGAGAAACCGTGTGCTCTGCCTGGCCCAGCGGGAGTCCCTGCTGTTCTGTCTCCAGAAAGCATCTTTTGGTTTTGTGTCTTCATAATTCTTCCCTACTGCCGTGTAATGTCATCTAGCATTTTTTAAGTACTTACTGGGGCAGAGGGCTGGAGTTCACACTTTGCATGCTGGGTGCCCCAGGTTCGGTCTCCAGCACCACGTGGTTCCCCAAGCACTGCACCAGGAGTAGCCCCTACCCCCAGACTAAAATATGGTGTTTTCCAAATAAATAGATGGCCGCCAAACTAAAAAATGTATAGAATAAAATGTGTTTATTGACACAGCAGTTTCTGTCAAAAATTAAAATGCATGGGGCCGGAGTGATCATACAGCAGGTCGGGCACTTTCCTGGCATGCAGCCAGCTTGGGTTCAATGCCCAGCACCCTGTGTGGCTCCCTAGCACCCTGCATCCTGTATGGCTCCCTCTAGCTCCCTAGGAGTTATCCCTGAGCACACAGCCTGGAGTATGCCCTGAACACCACCCACCACAATAGACAAATGCAGAATAGCTTTTGGTTTCTGATTTGATTCAGGGATCTCCCCTATAGTAGATTAACATCCAGCATACAAAGTAGTCTATAAGAATAGTTATCACGGTGCTATTTATAACAGCAAAAGACTGGACATTAAATGCCCACTAAAAGATGCTAAATAAGTCATGGAGAATCTAATCTAGCACAGTGCTCTGCAGCTATTAAGGAGAGTCATGAATAAATGAAGCCATTTCAGTCATTCCAAAATAGAATTATTCCAGGGGGCTGTTGTTGGGGGAGGGGAGCAAAGTAGGGGGAAAAAAAGGTAAAATAGGCTGACTTTTTTGTTTCTTAAAAGGAGTGGTAGTGCCGGGATGGGGATGGTAGTGCAGCAGGTGAGGCGCTTGCCTTGCAGGTAGCCGACCCCAGTTTGAATTCTGGCATCACGGGTGGGCCCCGAGTCCTCCAAGATATGTTCCTCCCACCCTCTCCTAAAAGAAAGGAGATGGCAGAACTGAAGAAATAGGAGTGCATTGTGTGCGTGTGCGTGCGTGTGTGTGTGTGTGTGTAAGTAGGCTTGCTTATGGAGAGACTATCTGCAAAGACACATACAAAATAGACAGCAGTGGCTTTGGGCAAAGGGTCTGTGGAGTGTTGTCATATTCCCTGTGGTGCGGTTTGAGTTTGTTTTTAAGAATTACATTTATGATCTATTAAATTTTTTTTTCATTGAATTTAGGTAATAAATATAGGTAACACATTGATGTAGTTCAGATATTTTTAAAAAACAGTGGCGGGGACGACAGGGGCATGAGGATACGGTTCTAGTACGAGAATCTTCCATGTGGAGGGCACTGGCTTCAGTGCCCAGGACTGCAGGGGGTAGTCCTGTGGGCCCTGAGCATTGCCTGGTGCCCCCACCCAGATATCTAGAGTAGGAAGCCGTGCTTTCCATTGTCTAATCCAGTCTGTGCCCGTGATATCACCCCCCACACACACACACACATAAAATAAGAAAATACGGTTCCAGTGGTTACTTTTGTCTGTTCTTCCATAATTTGTAATGCCCATGTAAGTAAAATCAAACATATAGTCTTGTAAATCTTTTTCTTTCTCACATTTGATAATATGCATGTTAAAAGCCATTCTAGATGTTGAATTTAAATATACACATTTATACTTTTAAATATATATGTATATTTGAGCACATAATTATTAGCCAAAATGACTTTTACAAATCCTGATGAAGAACGCTGTGACTTTTGGTTCTTCAGTATCCTGTCCTTTCTGCCTCAGGTTGAACAAAATTGGGCCACGTTACAGGGAGGTGAAATGACCATCCAGACGACACAAGCGTCAGAGGCCACCCAGGCGGTGGCCTCCTTGGCAGAAGCAGCGGTGGCGGCGTCTCAGGAGATGCAGCAGGGAGCGACGGTCACCATGGCACTGAACAGGTGGCGACAGGGGTGGGACAGGAGTGGGACGCTGCGGGAGGGTGGTGGCCCACTGAGGCCGTGCGGAGGGAGGGAGCCGGCAGGTTCCGGCGGCCCTGAGGTCGGTGTGAGTTGGCATCCGTCACCCTCCTCGCAGTGAGAACTCCGGGTCCTGATGTTCTGGCTTCCCCTTTCCTCCCCCAAAGAAACTGGTTTGGTCAGGGCATGCAAGCCTGTTGAAAACAGGCCAAGAGCTGATTTTAACTGGCTCTTCAGAAAAGTACTTTCCTCACTTTTCAAATAAACTCAGTTCAGTGATGGGGCAATGGTGGGACGTTCTCCTGCAACTTGTGGAGAAAGAACGCCCCAGAATGGGTCCTCATTAGAACCACCACACTTCCTCCCTGGACCCTTCCACTGGTGGTTGTTGGCAGGAGAGGGGAAAAAAAAAACAAAAGGCCCTGTATCAGTACCCTTCACTCCTGACATAATTCTGTGCTCAGAGGACCCAGACTTTTGTTTTGTTTTGGGGCCATATCCAGTGATGGTCAGGGCTTACTCCTGACTCTGCACTCAGGAATCATTCCTGGCAGTGCTCGGGGGGTCATGTTGAGTGACTTGAGCCCGGGCAGGCTGCGTACATGCAAGGTGAGCACCCTCCCCTGCTGTACTGTCTCCCCAGACCCAAACTTGGACATTCTTGCTCTGTGATTCAGGAAAAGGGTAGGCCTGGACTCCAGACTGGCTGGATTTGAATTCCACCTCTGTGGTTTACTTGGGAAATTGACTTGAACTCCACATTCAGGGTTTCTTCCTCTGTACAATGAAGGGTTAAGGGTGGTCCAGTGGGGCGGTTGCCGAGGAAGGCTGTGTCTAGATCCACCCTGGGCTTCCAGGATTTCTGCTCTCCCGAGGGACAGCAGTGGTTTGTCTGTCTCCAGTGGTCCTGGTGCCAGCAGGATTTGCCAGCACCTCTACAGGATAAGTTAGTCACCGTTCTCTGAGATAGACTGTCCTCAGAGAAACTAAGCTATTATCGTGGAGATGGAGGTAGGACTGCTGGCAAACGGTGTTTCTTGAGTATAATTCACACTTGACTTGTGCAAGGCAAACCATGGACAGTGCACCTCCAGAATATTGAAAATCCAGTCGAAGTTTCAGGTGGTCCTTGTAGATCCTCAAAAGCCACGATGGATTACATACAAATAAAGGCCTTCCCGGAGGCTGTGTTGCCAGTTGGCCCTCCAAAGTCACGTGGATCCTGCCTAGCTCTTTCACTGACTTGACGTTTGACCTTGAGGAGCTGCACCCCAGGGCCTTGATCTCCTCACCCTCAAAAAGATTTTCATGGGGCTGGAACAATAGCACAGTGGGTAGGGTGTTTGCCTTGCACACGGCCGACCCGGGTTCGATTCCCATCATCCCATATGGTCCCCTGAGCACCTCCAGGAGTAATTCCTGAGTGCAAAGCCAGGAGTAACCCCTGAGCATCGCCGGGTATGACCCAAAAAGCAAAATAATAATAATAATTTAAAAAAAGATTTTCATAGAATGATGTATATAAAGTCCACGTGACCTACCCACAGCACTTGAGGATAGCTACCATTCTAGTCCTGTTTTAAGACTTGTCTGTTCCAGAATCAATTATAGTGAGAAGGGAAGGGGGAGGCGGCCTTCAGGTCTGACTTGTTAAAGGCTCAGAAACCAGAGGACACGTCTCCCATGGTGGAAGATGCGTCCTCTGGTTTCTGAGTCTACAACTGTACCTCATGGTGTTTCACTAATAAAAATTAAAAAAAAAAAAAGAGAGAGCTATGAAATCAGACTGAAAAAAGAAAGAAACCAGAGGACTATCAGGAGTGACTGATGTGGCCAGGACCGGGGCTGGTTACTTACACCCACTCTAGCCCACGAGAGAAGAGCGTCGACTGTCTCCTGGAAGCCGGCCGAGCAAGACTCGCCCCTCGTTAGAGCCTGGAGCTGCACAGGCCCCCGTTAGGGACCAGCCATACTGACTTCCATGCGCCTTCGAGGCAGAGCCTGGCTCTTCCAGCGCAGTGTGAGTGTCCTGGGAACCCTGGAGGTAGTGGAAAATATGAGGCGCCTTCTGCCTCCCTTCAGCGTAAGGACCAGGGCTTATTTCTGAAGGCAGAGAGGGTAATGGCTTCCCCTGAGGGCTTGTTAACAAGCTCCGAGGCAGCTGAGCTGGCCGCAGTGTTTACTTCGAAGGCAGGAGAACGTGGTTCGCAGCGGCATGGAGGGAGGCGTGTGGAGATGTTGAAATCTGTTTGCAATCAGCTAGTTCGAGGCCTCGGATGATTGTTGTGGGATGCAGTCTTGCCGCCTGCGCTGGGGCAGAGAAGCCAAGTCTGGCAGCGGGGGCTGGATGCTGGCAGGCTCCTGGGGGACCACCGCGGCTGGCTCACGCCGGGAGGCTTGGACTTTACGCAAACCCTCGGTGTTTCCTGCTGTAGCATGAGACCCCCGCTCAGCCTTGCTTTGCGCAGGATTTGTTGCTGGCTCTCAGTGACAGGCAGCTACCCAGGGGCACCAGGTCTCTGTTCCTGTCAGGACAGTGGTTCTGCTCTTCTCCTGCAGGTGCAGGCAGAGGAAGCCGAGAGGGCCGTGCTCCAGGAGCAGAGGCCGAGGCCTCCTCCTGGCCAGCGAGCTGGATGGATACCCCATGAGCCTGCTTTTCAGCCGAGCCTGTCAGGAGTTTCTGTATGCCTGATGATGGCTCTTTAGCCCGCTGGCTTTGTTTTTTAACATATCAGCACTTCTAGGATGCAGGTGGGAGAAAATCAAAGTAAGAGAGAAACAACATCACAGTTCAACACCCCCATCCCCACAAGAGTTACTTGGCCTGAGCAACCAGAGAGGAAAGGAAAGGACACCCAGCAGTTGCTTGTTGGTCCTAACAGTTTATTGGATGTTTCAGCTCTTTAAGATACCCCGGGCATGTAGTCTCTCTTAAACAAGTGCTTCTGCAGCCAGTCCCCTACCGGCCTTCACACAGAGGTACATGACAGATGTAAGCTGGGATTGCCTTTGCCATGTATAACAGCGGCGCCCAGTTGCGGACCCCCAAGGTACTTATCACTGTGTGTCTAGCTGCATAGCACAGTGACTTGGTATGATGAAGAAGCCTCATTTGATTCCTCCTGAAGAATTTGTAACTACTGGATTTCTTGCTGTGAAGGGTTATGGCTAACCAAAAAAGAAGAAGTAGTAGGCATTTTTGTTTTGTTTTGGGGTGTTTCTGTTTTGTTTTGTTTTGTTTTGGGGTCACACTCAGTGGTACTCAGGGGTTACTCCTGGCCCTGCACTCAGAAATTACTCCTGCTGATGTTGGGGAACCAAATGAGATTATGGGGATCGAACCCAAGTCCGCTATGTGCAAGGCAAGTGCACTACTCTTTTTTTTTCCCCCTTTACCAATACTTACTTTTTACCATGAAGAACCCCAATAAAACCCCACCCCCCACCCCTCCCCGTCCCTGTGAGGCAGATGAATTCTAGTTAATACTCTATCTGCTTTGATTAGATTCATTGTTTCAATAAAAGATTCACCACTATTATTTAGAGTTTACCCCCCCCCCCCCCCAAATCAGACATGCTGAAAAAGCATTGTGAAGTGATTTGCTTTCTACAGCTGGGTTCAAGAATTAAATGTTGGTTTTGGATTTCTGCTATTTTACCTATTGACCCTGGAAGTATTTCTACTGAAAGTCAGATAGTTAAGAAATTGGTTTCTGTGTTCTGGAGTCGTGGCCGTGCTGGAGAGCCACTCGTGGGGGCAACTGGTGGCCTCGGTAGGGCGTGAAGGGCGGACCGGAACGCCCCCCTTCCCATGAGGTTTTAGTCGCCCCCACACTCCCGGCTCATACCTGCTGTCCACAAGGCTCCCATGTGGCCGCCATCTTTCTTTCCAGAGAGGAGAGGGCGAATGGGGCAACACCCTTTCCCCTCCGGCAGACTTGATGGCCTGGATCAACGCATAGTCTGTTCACTTTTCTGCTCCAAGCTGCTGGGTTCTGCATTAAGTCCTTGTGCTTCTGGGGCCATGGCTGTGCTGGAGAGCCGCTCGCGGGGGGCGACTGGTGACCTCGGTAGGGCGTGAAGGACGGACCGGAACGCCCCCCTTCCCATGAGGTTTTAGTCGCCCCCACACTCCCAGCTCATACCTGCTGTCCACAAGGCTCCCATGAAGTGCACTATTCTTGAACTATCCCTCCAGCCCAGTAATAATATTTTTTAAAGAAAATTCACTTTTTAAAAAAGAAATTGCACATCTTGTTATTCGTTCCCTCTTTTCTGTTTTAGCTGTGTATTTTTATATATGTGATATGTGTGCATGTATTTTTTTTTTTTTGCAGTGCCAGAGATTGAACCCAGAGTTTCATTTATGCAAAACCTGTATTCTCCACTGAGCTATTTCCCTAGCCCCTGCTTACTGTTTGTTTGATTAAAACACTATTGACTTAAAGTTAAGGGTCAGGAGAGTGTGATTAAGGCACTTGCCTTGCACGCTGCCAACCCTAGTTCAATCCCCAGGACCATACATGGCCCTCTGAGCACCAGCAGCCCCAAAACCAAACCACAAGAGCAAACATCCGACCTGATATTTGTTCACTAAAACGGAACGGACTACCTAGATGAATCTTCTGGGCATGGAGGGCAGGGACCAACCTCCCTGGCCTGTCCCTACTGACACCTCAGCCTCTGGACTCTCCTGCCTCACGTCCCAGATGACTCAGGGCTGTGGCTGAGGCTCAGCACTGGGGAGACGGCTCACAGTGCTGGAGCACAGGCTCTGCCACCTGGAGGCGGGGCTGTGGGCCTTGGCATCACAGCTTCCCCCGGCACCTAGTTAAGAGCAGCCCCTGAGCTTCGCCAGATGTGGCCCCAAAACTGACAAACAGAAAAAGACTCGATGTGCCTAGAACTTTGGGTATGCAGAGTAGTTGTAGCTGGCTGCAGGCATTTGGGTAGCTGCCCTCCTCCTCGCCTGTAGCCGTGTACCCAGGGCCACCAGCGTGTCAGCCATCATCACTGATGGGGAATGTTGATGAAAAACCAGGGGGAGGTTAATACCCCCGAGTAAAGCTCCAGCCTTGCGTGCCGGGGCCCCAGGTTCAGTGCCTGAGCACTGAACGACCAGAGGGGGAAAAGCACTTTGCTTTGCTTATTGTAAACCCTGTTGCTGCCGTTGTAACCAAGGCTTTTGTAAGCGGGGAACAAAGCAAAAACACCTGGAAAATGAACAGTCACGAGCCCGTAAACAGAGAAGAGAACGTCACGGGCTGTGATGTGGCAGCAGAGAGCGGATTCTGCTCTAGCTGTGACTCTCCTGAATTGTCCCAGAGCTTTTCGTGGACAAAGCCACTGGATTTAAAATGCAGTGTCATGACCCTGAACAGCGTTTAAAGGAAACCTGTAGACTAAAAGTGGCCACCCCGAAATAACTAGGCGAGAGGGAAAATCAACAGCTCGCCTTCGAGTCCTTCATCTGGGCAAATGGGCAAAAGAATGTCTAGGTGGGGAGTACAGAGTGCGGGGACAAAGCGGCTCGAAGACTCCATGGCCCGAGCCTGTTCATCTTCCAGCTGTGTTTAAGAGTAAAAACATTATTTCTGCATGCTATTTGAATTTTTCTTTTATACTGAGTGAAATTTTTCTGAGTTTTCCACATGCTTTTACTGTTAGGGGAAAAATAACTTTTTGGTTTGGGGGCCACACTCCAGGGCTGTTGTCAGCAGTGCAGAAGGTTGAAATTAGGGTTCTAGAACACAACATGCAGGCCCCAGCCCTTTATAGGTGCTCCCTGGCCCCAGGGGAAGAGAGCTTTTTAAACACAGACATAAAAATTAAAAAGCAAGGTAAATTTGGGGGCCGAAAGAGAGTACAGTGGATTGGGAATTACCTGCCAGGAGTAATTTTTTTTTTTTTTTTGCTTTTTGGGTCACACCCAGTGATGCTCAGGGATCACTCCTGGCTTTGCATTCAGGAATCACTCCTCGCGGTGCTTGGGGGACCATATGGGATGCTGGGAATCGAACCCGGGTCGGCCGCGTACAAGGCAAATGCCCTACCCACTGTGCTATTGCTCCAGCCCCGCAAGGAGTAATTCTTGGGGGCAAAACTTGGAGTAACCTATGAGCATTATCAGGTATGGTCCAAAACCAAAACAAAAAAAAGGCAAGGCAAATTAGTAAAAAGAAGAATTTTCTGCTTATTGAATCTTTTTTTTTTTTCTATTAACAGTCAGTTTCTTATATTGCTCCCTGTAACCTCCCTAAAACCCTTATTTATAGTGACTAAGAAGTTTTTCCCAGGGAAAGAGACTTGCTTAGGTGAAAATGGCTCTGGTGAGGCTGGAGTACAGCGGGTAGGATGTTTGCCTTGTACACGGCCCTACCCAGGTTCAATTCCCAGCATCCATATGGTCCCCCAAGCACGGCCAGGAGTAATTCCTGAGTGCATGAACCAGGAGTAACCCCTATGCATCGCTGGGTGTGACCCAAAAAGCAAAAAAAAAAAAAAAAAACCGAGAAAGAAAATGGCTCTGAAATTTGGTACAGATTTAGTCTTCAGTTGTGACGTATTTTCCCAGAACCAGCTCCCTGCCCCTCAGCCACCCCCACCTCCATCATGTGATTGCCATGTGACTGCCGTGGTTCTGGGAAAGCCCTGGCTCCGAACAGAACCCAGCCATCTGCCTGCCATCACACTCAGGCCTGGGCCTGCTTCTGCCAAGCCCCCAGATCCCACTCCTCTCTTCCCACACACCCTTCCTACCATAACTGCATCCAAAGGGACCCATCCTCTCCTTGGAGCAGGACTGCATCCATCTGAATTGGGTTTTGTTGAAGTTTTTTTTTTTGAGGTGGGGAGGTGATATTTGGGCCATGCCCAGCAGTGCTCAGGACCTAACTCCTAGCTCTGTGCTCAGGGATCACTCCTGGCGTGGCTCGGGCAACCCTATGGGGTGACGGCGATTGAAGTGGGGCCTGCCGCGTGCCATTCCCCCTGTATCCTGTGCTCTCTCTCTCTCTCTCCAGCCCTCGGTTTAGGTTTGAATATCCTGAAATGTCGATAGTAAATTATAAGCTTAAAATTGTTAGGAATTTCTCATTTTGACTGGCACGTAAAATCACAGTACATTATATTTCACATGTAGCCAAGTAATAGTTTGTGGCACCATAGAATCAATAAAAATGGGTTGTTAGGCGTATTATCAAAGCTCGTAGTGAGGGGACACAGGGTGTAGAGTATGTTCTCTGCACAGAGTATGTTCTCTGCCTTCTCTGCAGTGAAGTGGGAGATTATTTTGAAATGTTTCCAGAGTTTGGGCTTCGAGGGCTAATTTAGACTTTCACATCTTGGGGACCAGAGCTCTAGCACTTACTTGCCTTGCAAGCACCTGGCTCAGATTCGATCCCCGGCACCCCATATGGTCCCTTGAGCATCACTAGGAGTGATCCCTGAGCACAGAACCAGGAGTAAACCTGAGCGTTGCAGGAGTGGGCCCCCCTCCTCCCAGTTCTTTATTTTTTTCTTTTTGGGTCACACCCGGTGATACACAGGGGTTACTCCTGGCTCATGCACTCAGGAATTACTCCTGGAAGTGCTCGGGGGACCATTTGCGATGCTGGGAATCAAACCCGGGTAGGCTGCATGCAAGGCAAACACCCTACCCCCTGTACTACCACTCCAGGCCCCCAGTTTTATTTTTAAGTCTTAATTTAGTGCTCTCAGAAATACAGTAAGGTGGGGGTAGAGTTGGACTTTATAGACTTTATAATTAATTTACCATTACTTTGTCTTGGAAATCAACCAAATTATTGTTGTGTGCGGTAGCTAGTTCAGGCTGCCTCTTCCTCCCATTGTTGTTCTCAGCTGTGCAAGGGTGGCTTCAGCTGCCTGCCTGGCGTTACCGCATGGAGGAAGAGGGGCCCCTGGAACTGCAGCCCCCACGGCCTGGGCTTTGTGCAGTGGGTCAGAGCATCCTCTCTGATGCACAAGTACCCAGTGGCTCTTGAAAGAGAAAAGACGGAAATAACTGCCTTTAGTCCCAGGCTTAAAGGAAAACTCAGAACTTTAGAAATGTCCCGCCTGGGGCTCTGGGGCTCTTGATGGCCATCGTAGTGGCTCGGCCATGCCTGCTGGCTCCTTGCGACAGCCAGCAGAGTCCCGAGGAAGGTGGAGAGGGTGGAGTGACTGACTGCACCGCCGTTCCTCCTCTCATCCGGCGCGGGCCCTCTTTCCCACTTCCTCTGCCCACAGTGAGGCCGCTGCCCATGCCGTCGCCACGCTAGCCGAGGCCACCTTGCAAGGCGGGGGACAGATCGTCCTGTCTGGAGAAACCGCAGCAGCCGTTGGAGCACTTACTGGAGTCCAGGATGCTAATGGTAAGCAGGCATGAATATTTAATTGGATTTCTTCCCTGTTCCACTTAGACCTTCCTAGCATGACTGACAACAGGCTGGCCCTTCAGCACGAGATTTAGCTTTGATTGGATTTTTTTTATTTATCTGGTAGACAACTGGTGCGTGGGAAAATTCTAGAAGCCTCTGATGCCATTCACTAGCAGAGCACCTGGTATTTCCCGGAAAAGGCCATTAAAATGGCGACCTAATCTGACCTGTTGATTCATATGTGTGTGTATATATGGATACATACACACACACACACACACACACATACACACATGTATATATATATATATATGTATTAGTGCGGGAGTAAATAGTTTTTATTTAGGCAAATGAGAGAGAGGCGAGAGAAGTGAAGAGAAATCCCATCATGCAACCTGCTGGTTGAGGGCCCCTCCCGAGTGGAAGGTGCTGAACTGTTGATTTTTTCAAAATCAAAGTCACTATATTGCTGTGACAAGGACTTGCCGAGAATTGAGTGCTTTACATTTTGCTGTGGGGCACATTTTGTCCTTTCTCTCCCGTGGGGCAGATTAGCATCCTGTACACGGCAGAGTCTCCCGGGGTGGGCTCAACGGTGGGGGGCGGGGGAGCGCGGGTGGGATTGATGTTCTAGGAGAGCAGGCAGGTCCCTGCCTTGTCCGTACGTCTCAGCAGCAGCGGTGATGGCACTCAGCTGTCTGGTACAGTCAGGTCCTCGTCCTTGCAGGTGTCTTCGACAAGGGCTTCTGGGTTTAGTCAGAAACATGCCGCCGTCTTTCCCTTCTTTCCTGGTTCTGTGAACTCCAGCACTTGGGCCAGTCCTAGAAGCGCAGTGGTGGGTGTTAACCACCACAGCACAATGTGGATTCGCCTCAGCAGGCGCTGGCAGTCAGTTACCAAGACGCGGGCTGCCTGGGACTTGCTCAGAAGTCTGGGTCACAGAGGTGGACCAGCCCAGTTCCAAGATTTTGTGATTATTTGATTACTGAACTATTTCAAACACATATAAATGCATCGCTGTCACTGTCCTCCCATTGTTCATCGATTTGCTCGAGCGGGCCCAGTAACATCTCCATTGTGACACTTGTTACTGTGTTTGGCATACTGAATATGTCACGGGGACCTTGCCAGGCTTTGCCGTGCGGGCAAGATACTCTCAGTAGCTTGCTGGGCTCTCCGAAAGGGGCGGAGGAATCGAACCCAGCTCGGCCGGGCTGGCTGAGTGTGAGGCAAATGCTCTACCTCTGTGCTATCACTCCAGCCCAAATGTCAGCATATAAAAGTATATATGTTCGCTAGTATATAAAAGAATATAGTTAAAGTAAGCCATTTAAGTGCTTTGGCTTTTTGAAATGTGTTGTTTTAAAATCCTGGAAAATACTAGCTAATAACATGCTTTTTTAAAATTTGGGGCCGCACTTGACCATATGTGGTGCTGGGAATAGAACCTGGGTTGGCCGCATGCAGCGCAAGTGCCTTACCCACTGTACTGTCTGTCCAGCCTTTATTTCAGCAGAAAGTTCCTGGAAGACCTTAGTGTCTCTGGCACTTTTTAGGGCACATGGCTAAGAATTGAACGAGATGTGAGCTGGAAAGGTGTTTCAGGAAGACCCGTTCTATGTCCAGTTTGGGGCGTGGTTACAGTCTTTCTGTCTCCTGTGGGAAGCATAACTAGCCATTGGCGCTTCCGACAGTCAAGTCCTTAAAGAAAAATTAGATACGGCAACAGCAGCCTGCGCTTTGGCACAGAGACTTCCACAAACTCACATGGAGATGGAGTTGATTTAGTCGGAACATAGGCTAGAAGGTTCGTGTGGCCATAGAGGGTCAGGCTGAAAGAGACCCTAGGTGGAATTAAGGCAAATCTCCTCGTTACTAGAATCCCACCCATTTCCTCGCCTTCCTCTGCCGTCGGAATCCACCTTGAGCGGAAGGTCGGCTATCTGGCAGTGTGGCATTCTTCCGAAGTGCAGGTGCTAAGATTCCCACGGGACCTGCTGAGAACGTTTTCCCGGGTGGGTCTGACTGGGGCCTTGTTAGCCCTGCTAATGGTCCGGACACTGTTTCCCCTCGATAGGAATCTTGGCTCTCCCCGAGTGATTTCTTGGTTAGTCTAAAGACCCGGGTAGTCAGCCACGTTGCTCTGTTCTCTGTCCAATCAAGTCGGGCCACACTCGTTACAGCTCCTGGAAACCACCTCTTCTCAGTAGCTTCCAATCCTGTGAATCCATTGTGATTATTTTGTGTCGTTGGCTGCTTTTGTGAGAAGATTCTGGTCTATATCCTAGAAGCCAGTCACTCTCCTAAACCTCTGTCCCGGTGTACTACCCTCGGCCTTTAGCAGGAAAACCACCACTTTCTCTGTGTAGCTTTTCTTTTCTTTTCTAAAATTGGACCCCTCAGTGTGCCTTGTCCCAGCAGTTTTAGGTGACGATGAACCAGCGCCAGCTTGGTCCTGCTGGAAGATTTCCCCAGGTACCTTTCTTTTCACTGAAATGCTGAAATGCAGATCGAATTGCCAGAGGCTGAGTTCTTTTCTCCTGGCACTGAGCTCAGGGATCACGCCTGGCATGCTCCTGGGGCCTTGTGGGATAACTGGGGATTGAATCCGGGTCAGCCACATGCTAGGCAAGCGTCCTACCCACTGCACTCTGTCCCTGTCCCTCACCCCTGTAGTCTATCTCCCTGACGCCCACATCTTTTTATATTTTTGTGATAATTTTTTTCCTGTTATTACCCACATGTGTATGTTTTAGTACTTATCAGGTTGTTGTTTGTTGCCCAAATTTCTCTTTTGGCCTTTACATTTATTCATTGGAAGAACTTTATATTTAAGAATACAGCCTTCCATTCTTTTTTGGGGGGGGTCACAACTGGCAGTACTCAAGGCTACAAGATTATATTATGATTTTTCTTAGCAATGAAAAATTATATCTACACATTAAAATTCTTTTGTTTTGGGGGGGCCACACCTGCCTCTGCACTCCAGAGTCCCTCCTGGCAGTGCTCCCGGGACCATATGGGATGCTGAGGATTGAAACCTTGGTCGGTCACGTGCCTTACCTGCTGTTACTCTGGTCCAAATAATTTTTATTCTTTTCCGTCCTTCTGCCCAAGGAGCAAGGCAGAGGTGGGTCCATGGCCTCCGGAGCTGGCCCCAGTGATCAGGAGACACTGTGTCTTTGCTCAAGGAGATTCTGTCCCAGGTCATTTCCTGTGACCAGACCAGGACACATTTCCTGTGTCTTTCTAGACCAGGAGCTCGTGTGAGGATCTGGGAAGGCTATTCTCATGCTTTCACATGTCCCTTTCTCCCTTTGTGTCCATTTTGCCCCTTTTTCCATTTTAACAAGGCAGTGGGACAAGCGCCAACTCCGATGCCCTGTAAGACAGGCCGTCAGCATCCCCAGCCCCAGTGGGGCTCCATCAGCATTCCTGCTCACTCTCGGCTTTGCTTCTGGCTCTCAAGCCATTGTCCCATTTGTTTTAAGTTATTTTTAGCCTTTTGAGGACTGAAAATATGTGTATGAGTAATATATGTGTGTGTATATATATTTATATATAACAAAAATCCGACTATTTCCATTTGGAAAAAAAAATGGTTCAGTAAGTTGGCGAGGTTTACACAGGGCAGCAGGAATTGGGATAGGAATCCAGGTGATTTGTTTCTGCTATACTACCTTTCTTGGAGGGGACTACATCTGGTGGTGCTCAGGGCTGACTCCTCATGCTGAGCTTGGGGATCACTCTTTTTTTTTTCCTTTTCGGGTCACACCCGGCAATGCACAGGGGTTACTCCTGGCTCTGCATTCAGGAATTACTCCTGGTGGTGCTCAGGGGACCATATGGGATACTGGGAATCGAACCCGAGTCGGCCGCATGCAAAGCAAGTGCCCTGCCGCTGTACTACCCCTTGGGCCCTGTGCTGCCTTCTTTTGCTATGAACCCAGTTTCTGCTTGGACCCCACAAGTTCAGTGTTGTAACTGTCTGCCCAGCTGCACAGCTGTTTGGAAACGTTGGATTCTTCTCCTCCCCGTGACACCCTGCCTCTGTCTAGCTGAAGCCCTGTGCTACCTGTCCGCACCGTCCCTGACATCTGTAGGGATGCTCGCTACACCCTGTACCACCCCTCTCCCCCCACCCGGGAGTCCTCGCCCTGCTGTGTCTCCATTTCAGAGCTCAGCCCCTGCACTCAGACAGTCTCAGGGGCCAGCAGATCATGCTGCGATCACCCACCCTGCCGTCCTGTTTCCACTGGGGACAGTGCTGTTTGGAGCCGTGGACGTCGTTGGGGGAAAGTAGATACTCAGAAACACTCCCAGGGGGCCAGAGCGACAGTACAGCCTGTTGGGCATTTGCCTTGCATGTGGCCCACCAGGGTTCGATCCCTGACATTCTGTAGGGTCCCTCAAGCACTGCCAGGGGAAATGAGTGCAGAGCCAGGAGCAACCCCTGAGCATCATTCATTGGGTGTGACCCAAAAAGCAAAACAAACAAAAATAGAAATACTCCCAGGAAGTAATCCCAGCTAAAGAGTTGTATCCTCCCTCCTAGGAGTACATAGGCAGGCGGCCCTTCCTGTTCCGCCCTCTCCAGGGAGGGCCAGGCAGAGGGAGACGTGCTGGCCGGATCGGGGAGGGCTCTGGGCACGTACATGGCTGCCCAGAACGAGCAAGGTGACTGCAGACCGCTTCCCATACTCCTCACTGCGGCCTTCCCTGGTGTCTGCTTCAAACCCTGGATGGGATCCGCCAGGGCATTGACAAAGAACATCTTCTTACTGTGCTCAGCGCTCACAGCCCGTGGTAGAGGTTGGGATCCAGCTGCCTTCCTGTTGACCCGAGTGAAGGGACTAGAGGGCTGGGGCTGGGGCTGGGGCTAGAGCCAGAGCCAAAACCTGACTGTGGGCTGGAGCGATAGTACAGCAGGTGTGGCGTCTGCATTGCACACGGCTGACCCGGGTTCGATTCCCAGCATCCTGGAGTAATTCCTG